ATGAACAGCATGTCACTTTTCTATTGCAGTGCAACAGTAAATACATTTGCTACTAGTATTTATGATTATTAGCTAATCTATTTGATTCCCTTTCATCAACTTGGTCCACTTTCTCTGTTATATGTACGTGTGCACACACACACACACAAACACATTAAAAAAAACCTACTGCATGCCTGGGAAGTCCATAGCTAAACCAATCTTAAGTATCTGTACATTTGATCCTCCAGGAGAGAAAGTCATTATAAGGAATGAGACATAATGTGAAATGTCTTGATTAAAAGAGGAAATAAAGTGTGATCAATCCTTTGTCCTTGGGTGAATGATTTAGATCCAGACAAGCAAGGATCAGAAGGCGATGAAAGCAGACATTTCTTAAGATACTGTTATAAATATCTTGGCACATTTCCTTTCACATTGTCCTATGCTGCCACAATCAAGCTGCTGCTGTGATTCACCAAATCAACTCTTTATATAGGGTAGTTTTCTGTCCTTATTCTAGGAAAGAAATACCACTTGGAGAAAGAGGAGATAAGACAAATGTAGATTTGTACTTCTTCATTTTCCAGATAAGAAAAATTACAAAGTTGACCTTTAAATATCTTGGTTTTAAATGTATTTTGTCTTGGGGACATTAGCCAATGATCAAACAATATAGATTATTGAATATAGGAAGCAACACACTCGGTAATTCTGAATACTGATGAATACCCCACTGGAAGACCCCAATTATATCAGCTTTCTTTTTTGGCTTTAGCTCCTCAGGTGACATTTGATCCCCTAACATGGCAACTTCATTCAACTTGCTCCTTGGAATTTCAGCGCAGTGGGGCCCTTCCCATAGATATAAATCTGAATGAATAAGGTTTTAATGATTTCATTCCTTTGCTCTCAAGGAAATGGTTTTCTGTTGTAATTATATTTTTTACATGCAGAGTGTTTTACAGTTCTCGAAGGGTTTCATATCTTTTCTACTTATCTCTTTAAAACAATCTGGCAAAATAGACAGGAGAAACATATTAATTCTCAAATCAAGCTCCAGATGAGGAATCAGAAGCTCAGAATCACTGTATGACTTGTCCAAGATTACATTCAGTATGAAAACACATCTTCTGTCTCCTAGTCTTACAGCTTTGATCTAAACCTAGAGCAGTATGGAGGGGTATGAGCATGATCAATACATTAGAGGAGTCCTGCCTCCTTTCTTACTCCCTTAGCCTTTCAAGTTCAGATATGATGCAAAAGTGTTTCCATTTGAAAAACTTTTATTCCTAACTGGAGACTGTTTCCAACTACATCCCTAGGGTGAGAGGGTTGAGGAAGGAGGAGAGTGTCACTCTAATGTAAGGATACATGTGCTCACAAAAATAATTTCGCTTTTGTCCAATCACCTTACTTTTGTTTACCAGTCTTAGGGGTTTAAATTGCTTCTGTTAAAAATGTACCTATTGAAGCTTTCTCTTGCAATCTAGGTATCAGCAGAGCTTGGCCTCATTTTAGGCCGTTCCATGTTTCTATAGGATGTCTGGTACTATTTTCCAGTTTTGGTGAATATCAGGCTCTTGCATTCTGAAACTCTTGAGTTTCTTCTTCTAATGATCTCTTCTGGCTTTTTCTTTGTATTCTTCCATTCACCAATTGAATAACAGAGACTCTTCTGATTTCCCTGAAATCACTGGCACAGGCCGACATTAAGGGTTTGTAGTGGCAGAGTGGTATTAATCAGACAACTTAAACTGGATATTGAACAAACCGGTTCTTGATATTTCTCTAGCTGCCAACGAGAATTTCCCACTGGTTGCCCATTGCCATGGGTTTTATGCCCCTAGAAGACAGGGTTCTCTCCCATGCTCAGTTCAATCTCAAAACTGCTGTTACCTTCTTATGCAAAGGTCTCCAGACCCGTCCTACTATACAGAAAGTGATTTTCCAAGTGTTTTCCTGAAGCACAGTTAAAAAAACCTGCAGCCGGCCGGGGGCGGGGCCTCATGCCTGTAATCCCAGCACTTTGGAAGGCCGAGACGGGCGGATCACGAGTTCAGGAGATCTAGACCATCCTGGCTAACACGGTGAAACCCCGTCTCTACTAAAAAATACAAAAAATTAGCCGGGTGAGGTGGCGGGCCCCTGTAGTCCCAGCTACTCAGGAGGCTGAGGCAGGAGAATAGCGGGAACCCGGGAGGCGGAGCTTGCAGTGAGCCGAGATCGCGCCACTGCACTCCAGCCTGGGTGACAGAGCGAGACTCCGTCTCAAAAAAAAAAAAAAAAAAAAAAAAAAAAAAAAAAAAAAAAAAAAAAAAACCTGCAGCCTACAGACTAGATGTAGCCTCTGCACATGTTTTTAAAAATGTAAGCATACATTTAGGAATCTGGAGGGTTTTTTGTTTGGTTGGTTGGTTTAGTTTTTTAATCTGGGTTTCTAGATTTTCTTAACATACAAAATATCTGGCAACGGCTGTGGGGGGCACGTCTCTGCATGGCAACAGTGAGAGTTAGTGGACTAGCTGCTCTTCCATTTAGATGGGACTTAAATCTCGCATTTGTCACTCTCCCGAATACCCCTGCTTCTACCTGACCTCCAGAGGCGTTTGAGTATAAGATTCCTCTTATTAAAGACAATTCCTCCCTTCATAGGTGACTTTGACGTCCGCTGTTAACATGTCTGTTTTTTCTGTACTACATGGTCTTGTAAAGATGCATTGGAAATGTTCAAAAATCATTGTTACCTAGAGTTTTTTTAAACATTTGACCATTTTTTTAGGATTAAAAATTCCATCATGCCAATGTTTTAATTTTTATTTCAATAACAATAAAGTCTCCAGATGAATTGGAGAAATAAGAGGCAATATTGTGAAACATTTCTTTCTATTTCTCTCAAAAAACAAATTCAGATATAGCCTGGCTCATAAAACTTAATTACTCATTGGTGTTTGGCTAATGGATTTTTGCAATTCATCATACTAGAAAAAAGACTCCCTTCTTATGCATTGTATTTCTCAAAATGAGTTATTTTTCATATCCCTTATCTTGCAACCTTATACTATTCAGCTGCATTTATACAAATAGCTTTAAATGCCTTCTACTGCAGTATTTAATTCTGATTGATGGAAACTGAGACTTAAACCTACAAAGACTGTGCTGCTGTGGTAACAAAAAAAAAAGAGACAGATGTTTAAGAACATACAGACTCTATTGAAACTTTTTAACTTTACTGGAAATAATGGATGAACACCAATAAAGTAGGCCCTATGCAAGAATTTTGCTCTTGAATTTGGCGCATTTGGTAGGTGGGGGGAGAGGTCAATTAATCAGAAACAGTAACCTTTGAATTCATAAATACCTCATATATGTAAATTGTGAGGTGAATAAAGTCGGTTTACTTAATCACCTTCTGTTCAGAAGTCCATGCCAAACCCTATTAAAAGCTCCATCAGTTTAGGCATTTCTTATCTGAAGAGTCTGTTTGCCCTCTCTCCCGAAAATTGTCTTCAATAGAGTGAACTTGATTAATGGGCTGTTTCATTTTTCAGGATAAAGCTAACGTTTTCCTTTTACCAGAAACACTAGCAAATTACTTGATTAATATCAAAAAGCTCTCATTCACACATAACCTTTGAATAAACAAGTTGTGATACTGTTGGCAACATGCTAAGAGGTATTCCTGTAAGTAGGCTATAAAGGAAATTGCCTTTGTAATTAAATGTATACAGAGGGAACCTGTTTTTGCTTGCTCAAATCTATTTTTTTTTTCTCTTGTAAGCGAAGAATATATAATGAGGTTGGACCAAAGCAGAATGCAAAAATTCTTTATCTATGCTAAGGTTTTATTTGCATTTCTGTCACCTCTGGAAGCCCAGGAAGAAAACTGTGAAACATTTATGAAACTTGAATGCTTGAATGGAGTTTCTAATTCTTAATTTTAAGGCTTTCCAACTTTTTCTTTTCCTTTTGTTTTGTTTTGTTTTGTTTTTTAGACAGTCTTGCTCTGTCACGCAGACTGAAATGAAGTGGTGCAATCTTGGTTCACTGCAACCTTGGCCTCCTGGGTTCAAGTGATTCTCGTGCCTCAGCCTCCCGAGTAGCTGGGATTACAAATGTGTGCCACTATGCCTAATTTTTGTAGTTTTAATAGAGATGGAGTTTTGCCATGTTGGCCAGGCTGGTCTCAAACTCCTGGCCTCAAGTGATCTACCCATCTCAGCCTCCCAAAGTGCTGGGATTACAGGTATGAGCCACCGCGCCTGCTCTCTAGCTTTCTCTTAAAGTTTGACAATAAGAGTTAGTCAATCCCATGTTGATTGAAAAATACCTACACCTCCAAAAGACTTTCCTAATAATTAATTACCTGAAAACCAGAGTTGGAATATAAGGTGTTCTAATGTGGCAGCAAAGAAAGGCCTTTGAATAAGAAAAGATTCTATACTAAAATGCAGGAAGGAGAAATGAACTAAAATATTATGCCCTGATCATATACAAAATACTATATAAAAGTCTTATTTCATGTAGAAAATTAAACTACCCTTTACTGAAAATTAATTGCCTATCTACTATTCATTTCTCCCCTACAGATAATTGCTAAAACACCACGTGTAATAGCACTTTGCTCAGATCCAGTCAATGGGTTGTCATTAGTCCAAGCCAGAGGTTGGCAAACTATGGGCTTGTAGGCTAAACCAGGCCCACCATTTATGAGCTAAGATTGGTTTGTACATTGCTAAATGGTTGAAAAAAATCAAAAGAGGAATATTTCATCATACGTGAAAGTTATATTAAATTTCATTGTCCATAAAATTTATAAGAACACAGCCACACTCAATCATTAACGTATTGACTATGGTTGCTTTTGTGCTACAATGGCAGGATTGGGTGATTACAACAGAGACTGGCCATATGGCCTGCAAAGCTTACAATATTTACTATCTAGCCTGTTACCAAAAAAAGTTTGTCGACCCCTGGTCTAAGCCAATTGTGATACTCTTGTATCTTTCTTTTCCAGGCTCCAATCCAGCTGGCAGTGCCCATGTGACAATGAAACACAAGCAGAGGTCTGCCAGAAGGAATTCTGGAAAAGCTTGGCTTTCTTCATATAAGGCTGGCATCTTAACTCCCCTTCCGGCCTTGAATTTGAAAGTAAAATCTGGATGTCAGAACAGCCATCTTGCAACCATGGGGTGATGAATATAAAAGTAAAAGCCAGCACCAGGAGGGGTAAGTAACTTACTCCCTGATAGGATTGTTGAGCAGCTGAACCAAGGCCAATACCTGCTTACTGCCAGACTTCCTCTTATGTGAGAAAAATTAACCCTCCTCTCTGTAAGACATTCTTCAGTGGGCACGCATTGAGTCACTTACAAGCTAATGTCTTCCTTACTGACCTTACCTCCTCTTTCTTTCCTTTAGGCACAACCTATTTGTTCTTAATATTTTTAAAGAGAGTTGTGGGGCCAGAGGACCCATCCTGATATTCTTTCACTACACAGTGATTAGGTAGACATCTAATATCTTCATAGCCAAAGCCACACTTGAATTTGCTTATCAGTAAAAAAACCTAGTATCCCCAGCAGCATTATTTTGATGTTTGGGGGAATGGCTATGAGAACAGTCTAGTTCTCTGTGTTACTATAAATAGCTCATGGCAGAAGGACATCTACATTATTCCTCTTGCATCCTCTCCACTCAAGTTAGATGTCCCATCCTCTGTTCACCCATAATATTTAGGTCATGATGCTATCACACTCATTACACTATATTTAGATATTATGTTAAATTATGCAGTCAACTGTGGATGCCTTATGGACATCGACCATGTGTTACTCATCTCTGTCACTAGCATCTAGCATAGTGCCCCAGATATTATAGATGGTGAAGGAAAGAAGTCAGTTGTCATATAAAAGAATACAATGTGGAAGACAACAAATATATTCGTTAATTTATTAGACATTTATTGAGTGCTCAGTATATGCCTTTCTCTATGTGATGGGGATAAAGTGATGAATAAAACCAGTATCGTAATAAAAGCAAGCATTTACTGAATTCTTCCTAAATTCCAAGATAGAATTCTAAGCACTTTATATATTGACTTAATTAATCTTCACAGTACTCTGTCATTCCCATTTCAGAGATGAAAAACCTGATGCACAGAGAAGTTAAGTAACTTGCCCAAGATTACACAGCTAAAAGTGACAGAGTTGGATCTCTATCCATATTCAAGTGTGCAATTCCAGGATATTTACTACCATACTTTCAAGCTGCTTCTCTGATGCATTAGGTGCAGGGAATACAATATGAAGAAAACAATTGCTCTCCATTATGGGATTCCAAAGCAGAATAAGGTAAGATACAGTTTACATATTGGAGGAGAGAAAAGTCTAGAGTCATTCCACTGGGTTTCAATTTCTAGCTGCAGCAGATACTGTGTACTTCTCAGTATGTTACATAACCGTTCTGTGCCTCAGTTTCCTTATAAATGAATTGGAATAATAATATCTAACTCAGAGTGGTTATAAGGATTGCATGCATTAATATACATAAAGTACTTAAAACAATGCCTGGAATATTTTAAGTTTAAACCAAGGGTTGAGTATGATTATTACTATTGTTTTGGATGGTTTTATAATTATTGTAGTACATAATAATAACAATAGCTATTACCATTATCCTTATATGTAAGGCACAGGTAGTCAGATCATAAATGGTGTAACAAAAATTATATAATTGAAGTGACTGAATGTGAAACAGGTGTATTGGTCAGAGTTCTCCAGAGAAACAACCAATAAGATGTGTGTGTGGGTGTTTTTGTATGAGTTTGTGTGTGTATATGTATGTATTTCTAGTGTGTGTGTGTGTGTGTGTGTATTTGTTATAAGGAACTGGCAATTACAGAGGCTAAGAAATCGCAAGAGGTCTGCAGTTGGCAAACTGGAGACCCAAGGGAAACTGGAGACCCAAGGGAGCCAATGGTATAGTTCCAGTCTGGCACAGTAGCTCCCTTGTTTGTCTGTTGATTCAGAGGCATGAGAAGACTAAAGTGGCTGGATGGCCATCTTAGCTTCCAGTAATGGAATCATTGTTGTGTCTCTTGATGGAAGCATTCCTCCCTTTGGAACTAGGCTAGCAGAGCATAAGGTCGTGGGAACAGGAAGAAAAAAAATTGCTAGTGGGTTTTTAGGAGTAATAATGAATGCTGTAACTCTGATTTCCAACCCTTGATTTCTGGACCTGTAAATCTTGGCTATAGATCAACATCACCATATATTGTATTGGATGCTGAATTTGCACATATATAGCCTTCAGGAGAACCTTGCCCTAGCCCTGCAAGGTATTGCCACCAAGCTGTCACTGTAACTGAGTCTTCAAAAACCTATTCCACCATTCTATCAAGCTAGCTGCTTCATGATGGTGGGGGACATGGTAATACCAGTGAATTCTACGAGCATTAGCAAATTGCCACACTTATTTTGCTATGAAATGAGGTCCTTGATCCAAGCTATGCTGTGTGGAATACCATGACAGCAGACAAGGCATTCTGTAAGTCTATGGGTAGTGGTTTTAGCAGTTTTCTCTATGAATTCAAGATGATCTCTTATACAGAGTCATCAAGTGTTTAGCCATGTCTATTGTATGCATGTTAAAGTTATTGCTTATATAAACAAGACTTTTATTTTATGACCACATTATTGATCCTCTGACTTCATGGATTTTAACAGTTTTATGTTGTGTTATGTTAATGCCATGAGGAAGCAATGTGACGATGGAAAGACAGGGATAAAACTATCACCGCCATGGGGGAACATGTGTGATTAAACAGGGAGAACAGTTTTATCTTGAGCCGTTTTTCAATGGACAGAAAGTAGGAGTTTGAGACCTGGAACCAGGAGAGAAATGAGCCTTGAAGGAGGAAGAGGCAAAGACTCCAGTGGTGTGCCTCAGCCTAGGCCTGGGAAAACTGGGAGGACTCAAGCTCAGAGAAACAACCTTACTAGGCCATTAAGTCTAAGCGCTAGAGATGAAATCAAAAGTGAGGAAAAAGGGCCCTGAATCAGAAGCTGGATCCAGCCATGCAGTGGTTGAAAATGCTGGGCCAAATGAAGGTAATGGAAGCAACTGCTGTAAAAGTACCCAGAGTGCCCTGGGTTCCTCCCGTGGGTCACAGCCTTACAGTACCTTTCCAAAGATTCAGTGGCCCACATTGCTTTAAAGTAAAGAGTAAAATGTAGGGTGTAGAGGATGAGTAGCATCATCTGATATTCAAAACACCACTTTTTATAACACTAAATTTTTTCAGGTTGATTGTGCTTTCTTCATTTTTCTACAGAACTATTCATTTGTTAATTCCTTGCTCATTTCGTAAGGAATGGAAGAGATTTAAAATGCCCTATGTAATAAAAATAAGTTATGCAATGGGAATAGAAATGGAGAATTATAAAAAAGAAAATATGAATATAAATGGGATATTGAGACAAATGACAGAAGACAGGGGACAATGTTTTTCTTTAATTCCTCAATGTTATGTGAAAAGCCTCAATTAAAATATAACAGAAGCCCATCTTACAATCTATTACTATGCTATAAAGTCAAAACGAAGACTAAACTGGGTTTGCGTCAGTGCAGCTGTCTCATTCCAGTCCCGTCACTATATAGCTGCATCATTCTTTTCAAACCAATTAGGAGTCCTTCTTCTCAGCTTCCTCTTACATAAAACAACACATCATTACTTAGTGCTAAGAGCCAAAGCTAAGTATCAGCAATCTCTAGGTCCTCCTTCAACCCTTGACCTCGGAAAACAGTTCTTCATTTTTTTCCGCTGTTAAATGTAGATAATGTGGAAATTAAACATATAATGTATCTGGTGCACTTAGCAGAACTCCATGACATTTGAAAATATTCTATAATGGTAGTTGTTTAAAAATAAAGTGTTGAGGTAAGTGATCTTTAAAGTCTCATGTAGTCCAAAAATTCTTATTCTTTGAAGTGACTCATTTTTCATGTGAAGTTTCAATAAGCGTTACTCTTTTATCAGAGTTTGCTAGAAGAATATATCTCTGAATCACGTAACTGACTATATATTTGGCAAAACCACTAGGGAATCCAAGTAAAAGAAATGCAAATCGACAGCAAAACTAACTGTAAAAGTTTGTAAATCCTTTTAAAAGAATGAATTACAGATGAAAAGCTTTGCCTTGGTTTCATATGAAACTTAGATTAAGACAAACACTTAAACCAAAATACTACAGTGTAAAGGAAAAGTACATAAACTCTCTCTCCCCCCTCATTCTGTTTTGCAAAACACAATAATAATTCTAATAAGAAATGAATTGGAAGTTACATTGGATCACAAGAGAATACTTACAAGAGAGTATGAAAAAAGATGACTTTTCAAATTAGTCTCTTTGAAGTTTATAGGAAGAAAAGCAGAAAGCTTTTTCTAGGGGAAGTGGTGTTTTTGTCGGGGTGGTAGGGGAGTGCTGTTTCTGTGTGGGTGGAGTCTGTCATGGATGATCCTGATAGCTTCTTGACTGCTGCCAAAGGGTAGAAGAAGAATTGGGGATGGGATAGAGGCAGGAATCACCTTTTACTGATGACCAAGTAAGCAATCAAAACTATGGCAGAAACTTCACTATGTTTTCTCACTTAATCCTTAATATCCTGAAAGGTAGTTCCATTCTTTCAAATTTAGCAGATGAAAACCAAGATTACAAGAATTGCAAGAATTAAGTAACTGCCCAGGATTCAACTATTTATAGGGAAGCAGATATATGGTGATTAGAAAATGAGTTTATCTGACTCACACTTATGCTTCCTGCCAGGCTCAGAGAACTTTTGCCTTGTGTAGCCAGTTGCATACCTACTTCAGTCAGGCTTAGTTGACACGTATCACAATCATGGTAGCTGCCATCACGATGATTGGGATACAAGGCTTTTAGCTGACCTTGCAGAGGGAGGAGGGTACATCTATTCTTTTATCTCTTTGCAGGGGCTTTGGGGGAGGGAGTGCCAAGGTGGGAAACGATATGGTGAAAATAGCCTGAGGCAGGGCAGAAGAATCCCTGCAGATGGCATCTTGTCACTCCTTTCTCAACTTTCCTGAAGAGAAGGGAGAGGTTACTGACAATAACAATGTAAAAATGCCTTGTACACAGCTCTTTTTCCCATCTTGCAAGATGGCGGGTGAAGAAGTTAAGAAGCCGGATACTAAAGACAAGAAACTC